CTTTACATGCTATAGAAAACCGTATTTCTTATTTTCAAATGAATTCAAAACATTACCAGCTGAAAAGTAGAATTTCTTTTCTTTTCTTTCTTTCTTTCTTTTTCTTTTTTTTTTTTTTGAGACAGGGTTTCTCTGTGTAGCTTTGGAGCCTGTCCTGGAACTCATTCTGTAAACCAGGCTGGCCTCGAACTCAGAGATCCGCCTGCCTCTGCCTCCTGAGTGCTGGGATTAAAGGTGTCTATCAGAAATGGACATTTTTATACGATTTGGGCAGGAATGAAGACTAAATAAGAAACTGTGTATTCGTATAGGAAGTCAGGTATTTGTGTAGCCTGATCCCACTGTCCCACATCCAGCATATATGCAAAAGACCATCACATATGCACTGCTTGTTTTGTGTGCTGGACAGCCGGGCTGAGTGTCTAGCAGAGCAATTGTAAACGGGAAGAAATCTTGTGCAGTACTATGCAGTGATTGGATACCCAGGTTAGATACACCTGTGCTTAGCTGTCAATGGATTCTGAATTTATGAGCATAAAAAAAAAGAAGAAGAAAAAAACCGCAGTGTGCTTTTTATACTGAAATGCATGTATACACGTACACACACACACATTGTTTTCTGGGACACGGTTTCTCTGTGTAGCCCTGGCTGTCCTTCCTGAAACTGATCTGTACATCAGGCTGGCCTCCAACTCTGAGATCCATCTACCTCTGCCTACTAAATCCTGGGATTAAAGGCATGCAGCAGGTTTCAGAACCCACATGATTCAAACTATATATTTTAAAGGCCAGTTTCATGATTTAAATAAGAAAGAGCCGTGTTGCAAGTGAAATCAACAGCCTGGAAAGCAATGCAAGAACAGAAGAATAAGCTCAGAGCGGTGGCACACGCAGTTAGTCTCAGTGCTCACGCGCGCGCGGTAGAGGCAGGAGGATTCTTGAGTACCAGGAAAGCTAAACTGGTCTACAGGTGAGTTCAGTGCAGCCAGGGCATTATAGACAGACTAAAGAAACACTCTTACTGTTACCATTACTGTATTTCCAGTTAAAAACTTTTGACTTCCATATGATTCAAACAACAACAACAAATACATAGTCAGGTACGGTGCACATATATATAATCCCAGGACACAGACAGGCAGCTTTGAGTTCAAAGCCACATAAAATAAAATAAATACATCTTTTAAACAAAAGTAATGCCTACTAGAAAATACAAAATACAAAAACTGACTCAAGAAATAGAAATCAAAGAAAAATACATGACCTATGGGTCATGGCAATCACTGATAAATGCTGTCAAACACATAAAGAATTGACATTAACCACAGCACTAATCCTAACACTCAACAAAACACCACAGGATGACAAACTCACTCCACGAGGCTGGTATTATCCTGACAATGAAGACAGCAAAGATACCACAAGAAAACTATAGACCATAAAAATATAAAAATACACATGCAAACATCCTCTTCAAAAGTCTGGCAAACCGAATCCTATGGCACACGAAAAGGATCGCATAACACAGCAAAATGGGAATTACACCAGGAATGCAAGTTTGGCTCAACGTGTGATTATCAATGTATACCATATTAATAGAAAATGCGACGGTGGTGATGATCATTTCAACAAATGCCAAATTTGAGTAAAACTACAACGTTTTATAGTAAAATTTAAACTTCCTCAGTATAGCAAGTCCACAGCTAACACATTCTCAACTATGAAAGACTGCATGTCCTCCTGTGAGCACAAACAGGTTACCTGCTTTACCATTCAACATGCTGCTAGAAGTTCTCCGTGAATCAACTGGAAAAATTAAAACCATCCAAACTGAAAAGGAGGAGGACTTTATCTATTTGCAGATGAAGGGAATTACTACATAATTAAGAGTTAACAAATAATCCCAGCACTTGGGAGGCGGAGCAGGCAGATCTGTGAATAGTGAATACGGGTCCAGCCAGGTCTACACAGAGAAATCCTGTCTCAGAAAAAAAAAAAAAAGAAAAAGAAAAACAGAAAAAAAGAGTTAACAAGTCAATTCAGCAAAACTGCTATGGCACAAGATAAACATGTAAAAATTAGCTATGTATCTACTATATACCAACAAATAATCTAAAAATGAAATTAAAACAATTATACTTATCATAGCATCAAAAAGAATAAAATATTCACAAGTATGGGCTCTGAAGGGACTCTGAGTAGTCAGAACAATCTTGAAAACAGGAAGAATTTTTTCTATCAAAACTTATGATGAAGATATACTGAATACAAACTGGTACTGTTATAAGAGAAAACACAATGGAAAAAAAATACAGTATTCAAATGTGGACGGCCATATACACGTGCACATACATACATATATACATACATACACACATACGCACACATATACACACACACTCACATACATATATACATACATACATACACCACACACACACATCCACACTCACACATGCACACTCACACATACATACATATATACATACACACTCACGCACACACACACACGCGTGCACACACACTCACATACATATACACATACACACTCACAGTGTGACAATGGCAAAAACAAATGGAGAAAAATAGCCTAACAAATGGCTGTGCCAGAAGCAGACACAACATGCCAAAGGATGAAGGCAGACCCTCTCTGAATGCCACACACAGAAATTAGCTCAAAATAAAATTCCTAAATATAAAAGCTAGACTAAAAAGACAAAACCCTTATGACATCAGATTCGGCAACAATTTCTTGGCTATGGCCCCTCAAAACACAGGTAACAAAAAGTACGCGCTGCACTGTTAAAACCGCTAAGTCAGTCAACATATAGCAATCGTTATGTATACACAATCAACAAGAATAAGTGAAAGGCTGCCTATACAACAGCCAAATTTGTTTTCAGATTGTACATTCAGTTAAGGGCTAATACAGTGAAGATGCAGAAAAGTCTAACAACTCCAGTACAAAAAGCCAAGCAGCTAAGTTCCTAAAGGTCAAAGGACTTGAAAAGAAAAACCAAAAGATGGTTAAAATGCTTATCAAAACCACAGCAATACGCTACTTCAACAGCACAGCTAGTGGATGAATTAAAAAAAAAGAAAAGAAAGAAAGAAGAAAATAAATTCTGTCAAGGAGTGAGTGTAAAATCATGGAGCCAGAGAAGGCGGTCTGCAGGAGCCCTCGCAACCCTGCTGGCAGAAGCATAAAAAGACAGCACTGTGTTCTTACCAGCTGGGCCTTTGCACTCTTGGAACCGCATATGGGGATCCAGGATCAGCCCTATTCACATCAGCTGAAGAGTTGAGGGCACCCAAGTATACCTTGTATGCACATACAGCACAAAAGCACCAAACATGGCAAACTCACCTACTGTTTGTGCTTTGACACAGACAAGCCTGTGGCTGGACTGCGGCTTCGTGGGAGAGCCTTGCCTCAAAAGGATGGCGGCCTTGTTCACCCCGGGCAGCGGGGAGGCAGGGGCGCCTGACCAGAATCACATACTCTACGGGGGTATTTACATGTCCCCAGAGACAGAAGCAGAGTATGGCTCGTGAGAAGCGCAGGGCATGGATGGTTACTTTAGCCCCAATATCATTTATTATTTACGTGGGAAACAAAAGGAAACCATCTGGGCTCCTGCGATGGGGCCCACTGGGTATCTCAGGGTGGCCTCAAACTCACAGCCATCTTCCTGTCTCGGCTCTCTGAGTACTTCAAATACGGGTATGTTCCACAATGTCCTGCTCAAAAGTGTGAACCTGGTGTTGTGTAGTCACACACAAAACTTCTACCTGGGTCCCTTTCCAGTGTTATTTCCAGACTTAAAAACTAAGCCCCTCCTGTTTCCTTCCCTATAGGCCAGTGGAGTCTGTGAAATCCTACCACAAAATATTTTTGAGCACATATTGCCAAAATAGGTATTTATTTATAAATTATTTCACTAACCATATTATAAAATATACAAAAATAGAAAATTTGAAAAGCTTGAGTAAAACAAACATATACTCTATTTTCCCTACTCCAATGGACAGAGAGCAGCTCTCCTTGGAGAGCTCTTCTCTAGATCTTTGTTTTTTTTTTTTTTTTTGAAGACAGGTTTACAGTAAGTAGCTAAGGCTGGCCTCAAACTCATGATTCCCCCCTGCTTCAGAACCCCGAATGCTGAGACATGTGGCTCTAATTTATTCTTGGGTAGAGCATCTGCCTTTACCAACCAACCCTTTTACTGAAGCAATGTGGCCCCAACAGCCTCTGACTGCTGTGGCACATACCATGAGTAATTTGGAGGTCTCTGTTACTGGTAACTTGGGTTTGTGTAACTGAAATAACTAATGATTCTGAGATTCTGAGCTGGTTTTATAAGTGGTTACAACTTATCTTCTAGCATGCAACACCAAACTTATAGCTTATTCCTGGTAAACACATCCATCCACCAGGTGTATTTATCCCCTGTGGCTTTGTCTTTTCAGCAATTATTTTAGTTCATTTGTTTACTTATTTTAAATCACGTTGTGGCTTACCCCATTTTCAATTTTCATGTGATCATAATGTTTCATTTACTTAAAAACAATGTTGGGATACATGTGTGCATTATGTTTAAAAGCAATTCAAGTACTTCTCAGAAGACAGGAGGGAAGAATAAAAAAAAAAAAAAAGAAAGAAAACACCAGAACCCCCCACCCCACCTCCGCCCCCGCCCGGGGCCGAACAGAGGCTCCCCGTAAGCGTGAAGCTCTAAGCGTGAAGCTCCCCTGGTCAGGGGCTTCCTTTCCCGTCGTCGGCTCTGCATGCAAAGGGTGACTGGCAAGTGTGTGTTGGAGGAAAGAATGACAACAAACAATAGCGCTGTGCTACACATTCTCACTCTTTTCCAGCTGGGGAGAAATGTTATAGAAAGGACAGGGCAAACGGCTTTTTCTCCACCACCTGTGTGAAGAGGTCAGCTAAGAAGTCCACAAAAAAGGCAGCTGCATCCCATCTGGAATCTGTAGCCGTGTACCTGGATGTGCCTCCTCCTGGTGTGCTCGGAGGTCATCTGGGGACAGCCTGTGCTCGGCGCGCCCCAGCTGTGCTTGCAACGCTTCTCCAGATACCGCCTCTGTTGGTTAGTGACACTGCTGTACAATTTAATTCGCCTGGGTGACAAATGCAGTCTCTCCTGGCCAAAAGCTTGGACCAACCGGGCTGTGTCAATGGTGGATATGGAGCTACTCCTTTCGTTTAAAGTCACATCCCTGTCGGTCAGCGTCAACACATCCGAGTCCACAGGAGAAGCGGTGCTGGAAAAAATGTTGGCACTGTCTGTGAGGAACTCACTTTCCTCCGAGGGTCTAGAATCTGAGGAAGTATTGCTGGTGTAATTAAAATCTGGCCGTCTTCTCAGGATGTATTTATCTAATTTTAACTGCTCAATCTTAATCTGACTGGACTTCCTGCCACGATGAGAAAGCACCCTGCTTTTCCTAAAGTCTCCTGTATTCTGACCCCTCTCTAGGCTCTCACGTCGCTTCCTCTGCAGCTTGGCCCTCTGCTGATGCTGCCTCCTCCCAGCCCAGCCCCTCGCTCCTCGGCCCCCTCTGCTATCATCCTGCGTGCTTTCTGAGGCCTGGAGGGAATGTGTGATGGGATTCTGAAGCAGTTTAGCTAAACGGTCAAGCCGTTCCACCAAAGAGAGTTCTTTCTTATCACAAACGCCAGGTGATTTCTGCTGTTTCTGTCGCTCCTGGTACTTATTCCAGAGTTCATTCAAACTCAGGGTGCACTTTGATGTTAGCTCTGGGGTGGCCTTCTGATCCTTGTGTTGGTCATTTGTCTGCCTTTTGCCCTTTGGGTCTCTGGCCTGATTCTTGAGAGTATGCATCTTCTCATTGTCTCCCAAATTCAAATTGATGCTGAGGCTCTTAATTCTGGTGTAATCCATCTTGGTCTTGTCTGCACTTGGGCCTGGGGGAGGGAGGCAGCTGTGCTCTGAATGATGGTGAAAGAAATCCTTCCAAGAATGCTGCATGAATACACTCCTTCCCAAGGACTCGTGGCAGACATCTTGCTCGTGTGGCAGGTGTACCGGATGATGGAAGTAAAACTTGGCTGACCTGAAGACAGAGTGAGTGGTGTTTTCAAATGCAGAATGACATTCAGACTCTGAGAACGCAAGGAAAAAGAGCTGTAAAAATTTAGAAATATCTGCACTCCCTTTATAAACAGTTTTGTCTTTTCCCTTTATACACAGATCATGTGCGTGGCAACCAGGCTAGCGTGAGTCAGAACGTATGGGCCCTGGGTTAGCTCTGCCATCATGCGCCAGAGCAGGGGCTGGGTCTCAGGTCAAAGAGTGCTTGATCAGAATGCACAAAGTCCTGGGTTCAACTCCTAGCATGCTAGAAACTTCATTTACAGTCCCATCATTCAAAATGCGGAGACAGGAGGGTTACGAGTTCCACGTCATCCTCAGTAAAACCACCAGTTCAAGGCCAGTATGAACTAATTATACGGTACACTTCTCAGTATTCTACAATAACTTCAGGCTTCCGTGCTTCAGTACTAAGACGTGACACTGTACTACTAATATCACCAGCCTGGTGGACTTGGTTCCTGAAGCTCTCACAGATGATACAATCTGTAGATGCTTACATATACCTATACATATGGACGTGTATCAGTGCCTCTATACTTTACACTGTCATTAGATTAACACCAGAAAAAAGGTAAGCGCTAAGTCAATAGTCATTATCCTGTGCTGTCTGTGGAGAGTAATGCAAAAAAAGGGAAGTGTATACCCGGTCAAAAAAGACAACTTTTTCTCGATGTTTTCTGCACAGAGTTTGTTGAATTGGATATGGAAGGCTGAATGTACTGACTTGTAATATTGTTTCTATATATATTTCCCTAGCATTAACATTTCCTTTACAAATTCATGCATATATTCATACAGACAAAGCAATACTGGGGTGATATTTATAAGTTAAATAGGAAAGCATCTTATTTTCATCAGAATGGACCAGAAACACAGATACCCTAGCCCTCAGGCACACACACTGACTGCATTACCTGAAATATCTATCTTTAGGGACCCTTCCTTCTCTGTACAGAGTCCCTGAGGGATGGCCCTCTTAACACGGATCTCCTCCTTCTGTTTAATGGATTTAGCGCCTGGCAGGTTCTCAGTTTTTCTGTCTTCTTCAGTGGTATCACTGGAACCTAAGGGAACAAAATGAACACCACATCAATACTCACAAGAAGTTGACCCAAAAAAACCACTACCCGTCTATGTGAAAGCCATTGTTAGAGGTACTGCAAAACAAATATCTATACCACAATGTTTAGAGAAATGTAAACTGGGGGGAAAGAAGCACAAATATACAAACATGTCATGTAGAGCTACGATATAATCTATGTTAGAGTCTACTTTAACTCAGTTAAAATGCGTAATACAGTTCAATAAATACAACAACTGGTGTCACTGCTATTCACTTTTAAAATATTCTAAAGTGCAAAAAAAAAAAAAAATTAAAAGCAGCTATAGAAACTCATTAAGACGGGATCTTACAGGCGTAATCGAAACACGGTAAGAATGGAGGACAGGATGAGAGGAAGGAAGTTGCATTCAAAATGGACCACGTGTCAATGACTGACATAAACCATGTAAGGCAAAACTCCAAAAATTAGGGGAAATGTCATAGTTCTATGAGATGGATGATTAATTCTATAAACAACAAAGACTGAAACAAGAATATAAACAAGGAAAAATTCTATAAAATATAATTAACAGGATTATGGTAACAAAACAAACAAACACAAACCCTTTTAAAGAAGATATCGTGGGCAGTATGTTGCTACAGTGAAACAAATTACTGAATTAATATATCATATAGTCGAGAAAAACTTAATAAATCTACATCTTACATATTATACTCACTAAACATCATGTAGTTATGTAACTTTTAAGCTTGTCTGGTATTTTATGTTCTCCTTTTCCTCCTTGGGCATATGTCCGCTCTAACCTCCACCCGCATTTCTCAAGAGAGATATCAAAGCAATGCTAACGATGAGACACAACGAATAACCAGTCTTGGCTTCATTTGTCCAACAGTCTCTTTTCTTTCAAATCAATTTATTTTTCCTTATTGCTATCCAATCCTAAATTTTCCCCATCTAATATTTTAATTAACTTTCCATTTACTATATTAGACACACTAGGAGCCTAACAAGGTATTAACAACTTGGCTTAAGAAATAAAACACTACAGACGTGGTTCCCTAATGCGCTCTATCCCCTTCTTAGTGGCATCCTTTATGCTGGACACGAGTTTCTCTCATCCTCTTTAGCATCATGCAGTAATAAAACGTATCAATAATTTTGACAATCTATACTCATTATTTACAATCATCTTAAATGTCTAACCTTACAATACACAATACTGTGTGTGTTCTTTTAAAATATCAACTCATCTACTGATCAATATATAGTTGTTTGTTTTTATGCTGATAAGCAGTAGAGTGAGCATTCCAGTAACATTTCCCACTGATTTTTACAAGTTACAAACATCCTTTTTTTAATCTATGCCTTCTAATATTTTATGTGTCAAGCTTTTCATGCGAGTAACTTCATGTCCCTTCTCGCCTGGGGACTGGAGATGGAGCTCGGTTGCTGGGGCGCTTGCCTAGCAGCGAGCACACAGGCACCCCTGGACCCGATCTCAGGATCACATAAACTGGGAGCGGGGCACATGCCTGGGATACTTTCATGCCAGTGGTGGATTTGAAGGCAAAGCAGAAAGTAGTGGATATGCTCAGCTACTTAACAAGCTCGAAATCAGCTCAAATTCACAAAACCCTGTGTGGGGTCTGAAAGAAAATGGCCCCCACAGGGAGGGAGTTGCTGTAAGGGGGTGTGGCTTTGCTCGAGTGGGTGTGGCCTCACTGGAGGAAGTGTGGCACTGTGGGGACCAGCCTTGAGGTCTCCTGTGTTCAAGCTACATTCAGTGTGGCTCACAGTTGCTTTGGCTGCTTTGTGGATCAAGATGTACAACTCCCAGCTCCTTCTCCAGCACCATGTCTGCTTGTGTGCTGCCATGATGATAATGCACTACGCCTCTACAACCGTAAGACAACCCCAATTAATGTTTTCCTTTGTGAGAGTTGCCATGGTCATGGTGTCTCTTCACAACAGACATGCTAAGTCACCCTATCTCAAAGAAAGGATGAAACTGAACTATTTCTGAGTTATAAGGATATTTAAATTATAAAATTTTTCTTTTTTATCCTATGAGGCTACCATACATTTTTGTTCAGTGTGCAGACAGGATTTGTCTGGTTTTCTTACATTTGTTATCAATTTTCTAAGCACTACTTCATCGGCACACCCTCTCCCTTTTAAGTTTCCACGGTCCTAAGAATCAAAATTCTGGGCCATATTATACTACACTTTTTTATTTTAGGAAATAATTTATTTTTTGATATTGTAACATAACGTTTCCCCCTTCCCTTTCCCTCTCTCCAAACCCCTTGATCCATGGCCTCTTTTTAACTATTGCTGTTGTGGTGGTGGTGATGATGGCGTGTGCACACACGCCTGCATATGTGTATGGATTCCTAAATGTATAAACACAACTTGATCAGCCTTACCTTATGTATATTATATATAAGTTTTCAGGGCTGACTGTACTATTTGATGCTGTATATCTAATGGGTGTGCTCGTCCTTGGTGAAGACTGTTTCTCCAGCCAGTAGTTCCTTGTTTAGGGTTGAGCCTCATAAGCTTTCCTTCCATACCAGTGTGCCTATTCTTATTCTTTATTAAACACATAAGTTAGTATAGCTTTCACCCCTCATAAAGCAAACTTCTCTTTATAACAGAGACTATTACAAAAAAAAAAAAAAAAAAAAACCCACAACTGACCAAAACACAGAGTCGTGTAACTCAACTGACCCATCTATAGCTCAATTACTCCACCAAAGACTCAGGGATCACTGCAGAACTAGAGTGGATAGAGGGGTTTAAGGGAGAGGAACAGGAAGTTCACTGCGAGGTTCTGTCTCCAAGAAATGTCAGCTATCACACCCCTAAAATCATGCCATTACGGCTGCCTCCTATACTTCTCTTTTTAATCTTTTGTTTGTTTGTTTGTTTGAGACAGGGTTTACTCTGTGGCTTTGGAGCCTGTCCTGGAACTAGCTCTTATAGAACAGGCTGGTCTCAAACTCACAGAGATCCGCCTGCCTCTGCCTCCCAGGGATTAAAGGTGTCTGCCACCACAGCCTGACTCTTTTTAATGTTTTACAAATAATATTTAGCAAGCTACATATAAAATTTTGATGCTAGTACAGCAAGCTCTTCTATGAGCCCAGAGATTAATTTAAAGGCAACTGAACACTTTATTGTTACTATTATGCAACTCTCTAATTATGTAGAAAGTCCTTAATAATTTCAATGTAATTTTAGAATTTTTCCTAAGGTAGTCTTGCATGTATTTTAGGCTCATTTCTAATAACCTTATCAAAAAAAAAATTTAACTATCCTAGAAAATATTTACATAAAATGAAGAAATATCAGCTGGGCAGTTGTGGCACATGCCCTTAATCCCAGCACTCGGGAGGCGGAGGCAGGTGGATCTCTGAGTTGAGGCCAGCCCGGTCTACAGAGTGAGTTCCGGGACAGGCTCCAAAAGAATACAGAGAAAACCTGTCTTGAAAAACAAAACAACACCAACACTAACAAAAGAAGATGAAGGGATACCACTAATTATCCAACAATATGTGTAAAACCTTATCCAGGTCAAGAAATCAAATCTGAATAGAAGCCTATTACCCAGTCTCGTCACTCTTCCTTACCATTTAAGATTATACAAACTGAAGAGCAACTAGAGTATATAATACCGATTTTAAATACAACAGATGTATCAGGAATGTCTCAACTTTGTATAAATGAATAATGCAAGGTATGTGTTTTCCTTCCTTCGCTCACACTATGTGTGTAAAGTTCATTATATGTTGTTACATATACTTATCCTTTCCTCCATGCCAGTAATTATTCAATAGTGTTAGTATTACAAGTTATCTATTTTATTAAACAAATACTGGCCACTTGAGTGGTCTCTATGGAACGATTACAAATACTGCTTGAAGGCCATGTGTGGGGCTAAGGCTCAGTGGTAGGGTGCATTCTCAGGCAGCCACACACAAAGCCAGGATACTAATATTATACTCTCACCAGAGTTCTTATTCTCCATAGAACAGTGCTTTTCATTTCAGCCATTCTAACGAGTATAGAAAGCTACTGCTGTCTTAATGTGTATTCCACGATTATCAACAAAGTGAAAATTCAATATGCAATTATTAGGTATTACATAGTCCCTTTTACAGAATGACTGTCCGCAATTCTTTTGCCCAATTTCTACTAAGTTACTCAACTTTTTCACACTACTTCTTTTCATATTTAGAATATTTTGTGTGGAATGTACACACTGTAATTTTTACTTCCACTCTGTGATTTCCCTTTATTTACTGTTCACATTTTTTAGAATTTTTTTACTTGAACATTCCTTATTTCCCTATATGGTTGCTGGTTTTACTTGCTTGGTTTTTAGGAGAGGAATACAATTTAAAGAAAATTTTCCTTTTCTAAAATTAAGAAGGCATACTCTTTTATTTTCTTATAGAGGATCTACCTATCTATCAATCTACTTACCTATTAATCTATGCTTTGGTTTAGGTTTATTTTGAAACAGCATCCTTCTGGAACAAGTGATCTTCCTGCAATTTTAAATGTATTGTACTTTTAGAAAAAGCTGAAAACTCTACAGTGGCCAGAGAGAGCAAGTATCTGAATGAATGAGCAGGTGGGATCTGAGAGGGTTGGGGACTGAAGCAAACATGATGGATGTCCTGAGCCAGGGCCCAGCTGCAGGTGACTACTGTCACAGAGGAATGTGAGCTAGGGGAAGCCAGACATTCTGATTCTTTTTCTCCCCCAACGAGTCCAAAAACTGAATTTTCACAGGTTGGAAGAAAAATAAAATTTCAAAACATCATGTAAACTCTTGTCAAATGCTGCCAGAAATGCCACCCTGCTACACTTAACAGAGATAAATTCATGAGAATTTTAATCAAGACTTTCTGATATCTAGTATGCAAAACAGGCTTGATTTATAGTGTTTCATTTCAACAGCTATAGTACATTTTATTTACGGTGAAAATGAAGTTTAAAGTTTTCCTGTGTACATTTAACATAGTGGTAAGGACAAAGTTTCCAAAACAAACCAGAAAATGGATAAAGACAACAATATTCTCACTTCAAATAAAAAGGTTCAGGAAAGACGTAAAACAGGCGAGGGCACTCGTTACCTGCATTCCCATTCCGAGGGGGGATTTTCATCTTTGACACCGCCCTCTTGCTATAGATCCCTTCTGTATGCTTAATGTTCACAGTGCCCGAGAGGTCATCGTCTCTCGTGCCTAGCACTTGAGGTGGAAAGTCTGGGGCAATGGCGTCATTGGACCCTACAGAGAAACAAAAAAAAAAAAAAAAAAATTACAATTAACACTAAAATAGTCTTGAAGAGCACCATGACGGCAATGTTACAGGATGATTAGTTTACCAGTCAAACTGAAACTCAGAGACATGTACAGTAAATGTCAGGGGGCACTACCAGCTCGGGGAGGCTTCTGAAAGAAGGAAAATGACTGGGGATGACTTCTGGTATTGATATAAGATAAAAAGACAATTAGATAGTAGTTACTACTCAAACACACACAAACAATGCACACTGTGGCCAGATAGGGCAACAGGATACTTAAACAAGTACTATTTAAGTCAGGCGGTGGTGGCACACCTTTAATCCCAGCACTCTGGAGGCAGAGGCAGCTGGATCTCTTGTGAGTTTGAGACCAGCCTGGTATACAAGAGCTAGTTCTAGGAAAGCCTCCAAAGCTACAGAGAAACCTTGTCTCAAAAAACAAAACAAAACAACAACAACAACAACAACAAAAGACCACCATTTAAACATAACAGCAGCATATGGAATCCTTATCCCAAGACCATAGATTTTACTGTACATGAAATGTAGCATCAATGAAGTTTTTTTTTTTTTAAACATAGAGTAATTCATAAGCTTTGCCTTGGGAAGAGCTGTCTAATGTTGGGGTGTTCTGTGTTGCGTGAGTCACACAAGCCTGTGTGGCAAGAGGAAGAAGGTCCAGCCCCCGATGAACTAACCCTGAACTGCTGGACAAAGGTGCGTGCACTGATTGTTAACCAAAGTTGTTTTTCTGGGTAAACTATCTCTTCATACCAAGGTCACTATTCTAATTATGTCTACCTAAAAGAAAGCCCTTGCTACCTACTTTTTAGTCCTTATTGTTCACCGTTTGCAGTTACACAATAATCTAAGAGCTTCAGGTGTACCAGAAGCATCTTGTGATCAAAGTCATGCAAGGGCTGTGATGACCCCCTCAGAAAAACATGTCTACAAATCACGGGAAAACAATCATCATTTTCCACAAGGACTCTTCAAGGCCAAAGTACTTCCAGCAAATAATTATTCACTCTAGAAACAGTGACTCTGCTAGATTCCTACAACAGTCTAACAATTTAAAAAACACTGAAAGAGAGTCGTGTAGATCAGAGAAAACAGCTTATATGCCTAGCGTTTGTGAAGCAGAGTTCAATCCCCAGCACCATAAAAATGAAAAAGGAAATTAAAAAAAAAAAAAAAAAAAAAAAAAAAAAAAAAACAAAAGAAGAAAAAACTGAAAGGAAAAAAATGTATGTGACAAAGATTTGAAAGACTCAAACTTTCTTTTAAGGGTATTTCAACATTCATATATACACCGACACACAGAAGCCCATCTGTTATGCCACATCCATAGGCAATATTTCTAAAAATAAAATCTTGATAATTTTTGCATTAATACCTGAATGTGAGCTCTCCACAGTGGTATCTGATTTGGAATCCAGATGTGAAGGCACTGTTTTTAATTGTGGAACATAGTACATCTTCGCACTACCAGATGGCTTATATGGCAACAGTACCGGCTGGGCTGCAGAGGTAAGCGTCGGAGAACCATTAGGAAGAAATAATACATACCGAGTACCTTCCACCTGCTAGGCAGTAGTCAGCATTCTCAGAATACATGAATGAACTAAACATTATTCACCTTTTCTTTCAACATGGGAAAGACACGGCACATTTAGTTAAATTACATAATCAAATCACCTGGTCGCCAATGGTGCGACACATATTGTGAAGGATCAGGAACAGGATGTAGACTAACCAGGTTGAGGGGTGGATTTTCAGCAATCTATACCATAAGTAGACGACTCTAACTATAAGACAGTTTATCTTACACTACTTTACTCCTAGAGACATAAGAGAATAGGTCTCTTTCACTTTTCGTATAGCATTCTCAAAATAAAGCTTCTATTATAAAAATATGATTTTGAATATTAAGAAAATACCCTGAAGAGACAAGGTCTGTCTGACTATTAAAAGATCACCAGTTTAATGTAGAATTCTACCCACATTTTCCTTCTATTTACACCCTCATTATCATAAAATAAGTAAAAAGATTCAGTTGTTTTATAATAACAAATATTAATTTTTATCCTATTCATACACAGAGAGCTCTGATATAAATGTAGGTTTAAAGTTTTTTCACAGTTCGGTCTCTCTTCTTGCTGTTTCCACCACCATCATAAAAGGAGGATAGTAATCAACTGCCCCATGGCCTGAATCTCACAAACTGGCTCTTGGAGGCACACCTAATCTACTTTTGGCACCTGGAGCCAAACCCTGCCAAACTCCAATTGGCTCACAAGCCTGAGATGCAAAGGCAAATTTTTGTTAAACTGTGTGTGAGGGTGTGTGTGGATTTACACATATTTGGTAGTACTACAGACTGGTCTAGAACCAGGTACATGTTAGGTATGCATGCACACTGTCATTGAGCTCATCCACTAGCACCCATTAGTTTACATGTGTGGGGGTGCATGTGTGTACATATGTGTTTATATTTCCATATAGAAGGATTAATGGTCAACCTGAGTAATGAGTGGTTGTTTTATAAGCCAGAAATAAGCCATGACGGTGCACTATTAAAGTATCATCTGTCACATTACTATGAGCTAAATGCCAACAATAATTCACCTGCCTGCCTTATAAACAGCTTTGGTACACTGACTGTATTTTTACAAAAATCATGGGACAAAAGTCAGCCAGCCATAAGCAGCATAAATTGCAACACACTCTTGTTAACGTCTTCAAACTAAAGATGAAAATCCTATTCTTTTTACAGGTATGCAAGCAAAAACTAGATGCAGTATTTTTGTAACATAATGTTTACGTTGAATTTAGGTTTAATGGGCTAAGTGGTTGTGGCACACGCCTTTAATCCCAATACTTGGGAGGCAGAGGCAGGTGGATCTCTGGCCAGCCTGATCTACAAAGACAATTCCAGGATAGGTCCAACGATACAGAAAAACCCTGTCTCAACAAACAAACAAACAAACAAACACTTAAATTTAATGATGAGAAAAACAGTAACTTTTCAAAGATAATTAATTACACATAAAGTGGGTTAATGACGTAAAACTCAGTTGCGTTCCCTACCGTCTTTGCCATGAGAAGATGTTATTTGCTGTAGTGAGGATGATGAGGCAAGCTTGGGAAGCTTTGGGGCCGTGGGGTCTTGAACTTCCTGTCCATGATCAACATTAATAAAAATTTCAGACGAAAACGTGGTCTTTTCTGGACTTTCTGTTGTTATCTGAGTGACCGCATCAGATGATAACTTCGCAGAGGATGTAGGAAGGGTGGCCTTATTCTGCTCTTGTGAACTAATGAGGGGGAAAAAAGACAAAATGGCTCATCTTTGGCAAGAAATATTTAAGTAACTAGACAACTGTAAATATCGTTATCTCACAAGTTAACCACCAATTTCTACAGTATCCTTCATTTTGATAAATGTGTGTGTACATGTATATACAGGTGTGTGTGTGTGTGAGTGTGTGTGTGTGTGTATGTGTGTGAGTGTGTGTGTGTGAGTGTGTGTGTGAGTGTGTGTGTGGGTGTGTGTGAGTGTGAGTGTGTGCGTGTGTGTATGTGTGTGTGTGTGAGTGTGTGTGTGAGTATGTGTGTGTATGTGTGTGTGTGTGTAGTAAGTGACCAAGCATACATTTCTTGTCACTTATTCCAAAATTTACTTTTAATTTTAATTTATAGTACCAATATATAATTTAACTGAGAAAACAGTACTTTCTAGTTGAAATTAATAGACATTCATTTATTTATATTTAATTAGACAATTACTACAAAACTGTACTAAATGCCCAGGGACAAAAATAAACATAAAACAAAGTCTTGTCACAAAGGGTTTATATTTCAATGATGGCACCAAATGGGAGAGAAAGAGTGTTTGTGACAAAGATTACTGATAATTCATGTTTTAAAAAACCAAATGAATGACAACCAACACATAGAAAGAGGCGCCAGTTCTGCTTATGAAGAATTCCATAGAACGCGTAGACAGACACCTCCCACCCACAAGCCCCCAAGCACTACAAAGAATACAGCCTAAGATGTGAGAAAACCACCTTATCCCTGACCAAGGTCGGCATCATAATGACGACTTGTGAGTATAATAACTTTCCCTGTCTGATTTGAGGGTGAATGTCACCTGTGATATTCATTCCCAAAATTAACTCTTCAGTCTAATCACGAGAAAACATCAAACCGGAATGGAAGAGCTATTCAGCAAATGTCTCTTCAAAATTGCCAAGTTCATTAAGAACACGGAATAATTATCATATACCACAGAAGGTTAAGAGACATTTGCACTGTCATTATAAAAAAAAAAAAAAAAAAAAAAAAAAAAGATCCATGGACTATGTGGCTTTTAAACAGAATTCACGGATCACCATTATGGCTGAAGGAGTGTCAGACCCTTTGTCTGATGAGGGCCTATTTTCCGGTTCATCGGTGTTGCCTTCTTACCACGCCCTTACACGACCGGAAGGGTCTAGACAGCCATTAGGAGGGGGAGCTTTGGATAAAGGCGCTAATCTCGTTCATGAGTTACTTACTCTCACAACCTAAATGATTCTTTGAGGCCCGATGGCCAGATACTATCATACCAGGTAAGTTTTGGAGAGACTAAGTATTTAGAACATAACATTCTGTTCCTTGTTCCCAAAACTCATGTCCTCACATGCAAATACATGCATTCCGTCCCCAATCTTAACTCATCACAGCAACAACTCTGAAGTCCAGAGTGACCTCTAACACTGTCAACATCAGAGGAAGATTTAATGTACAATTCATCTCAAGACAAAATGTTCTCCAACTGTGAACCAGTAACATACAGCATACTTTCCAAAATGCCAACGGTAAGTAGGACCCGCACAGGGCACTCATTCCAAAAGGAAACGAGAGAAAGGGGGAAGAAATAGGCCACGAGCCAGTCCTAACTCTTAAATCTCAGAAGGGCTGTCCTCCAGTGTCCCTGGCAGTGGCAGACAATGGGGCGTCTTCCAATGCACAGCACAGCCACACCTGAGATGACACTGTGCTGAAATGGCTCCTTTGAAATCATGTCCCCAGGGTCCCTGCACTACGGCTCATTAGTAGAGTGGCACTCATGGTTTCTGAAATGCCTTTGGACACAGTTTTCCATATTCTTAGTGAACAGCACCCGGCTGATCCATACTTATTTTATCAAATGGCCGCTTGGCCATACTACTAGCGTTCTCTACCAAGCAATCTGTCACATCTTTATAATGCAGGAATGCTAAATACTTCCAAGTTTTAAATCTCTGCTTCTTCTCTTATTAAAATCACATCTTTAAATCATTTCCTTCAATGCTGAGAGGTGGTGGGATGAACTGGAGAGCTGGGAACACGGGGGAGGGGTTGCTCCAAAACAGTGTCTTTTGGCCATTGTGATCATGACCTCAAAGCAGCGGAGGTACTAACACAAGACCTGTGCAGGATCTAGCCTGTCAATATTCCAGCATGAACAGAGAAAGGGCTCGCTGTAGGATAAAAAGGACCAGTGAAAGAATACTCCAGCCTTAAGACCAGAGCCAAAGAAACATACCCTGCACTTAACCAATCCAGGAGTTGAAATCCACTCAATCCCAGAGCACAAAATCCAACCAAGCTCAGGAACTGAGATCCTACCGAGCCCCACCTTGGAAAGCTCCACCCACTAAGGAACTCTATATAAGCCCTATACCTGTGCAGTTTGGGGCTCCCCTTTTTTCTGCCTGGCAGAGACAGCCACTCTCCTGGTTTGTTGTAAGGACTTAGAGCTTTAGGCTCTTTGCACAGCAGGGCAGAACTGTAACACTTTGGCTGCGGAAACCCTCCCCTGCTGGAGCAGAGTTGCTACACTTGCATAAGGGAAACCTTTCCCAGGGTATAGACATCAAACTCAGGTTCTCATGCTTTCGAGGCAAGCGTCTTCCCAGCAGCCCTTCCTCCCCACAAGGCCACACAAACAATTTCTCTTAATTTCAAGGGTTAAAACCCAGAAACTGAGTTGATGGTATCTACCTCTGAGACTCTAAGTAAACGCAGTGTAAACATTCACCTTGAAGCTTGGCATTTAGTGCATCCCTTCACTATTCGTCGTGTTTAACAATAATGTGTTCTTCTCATCCACAGCTTTATCTCAATTTTAAAGTAATTCAGCAGCTATAAGTTTGCATTCAAACCTCGAAGGGTGCAATTATTACTATACACAAATTTGCTGTACTTGAATTCCTAAACATTATAAATATATCCATCGCTTTCTATGGTTTATAATACTCAAGCCAGAGGCTGACACCTTGTTTTTCTGGTTTTGTTTTTTTTTTAGGGTTTTTTTTGTTTGTTTTCTTGTCTTAGTCACTTCAGCTTAGTAAAGGATATTTGAGCTTCTCAACCTTTCCTTCTACACGTCCTCAGAAGAGTGAGTGCCAAAGAAATTAAATGATTTGTTCAAAGAAAGTTCATCCACAAGACATGCAAGTAATGCCAGACAGTGGTGGCACATGCCTTTAATCCCAGCACTCTGGAGACAGAGGCAAAGGCAGAGGCAGAAGCAGAAGCAGGCAGATCTCTGTGGGTTCAAGGCCAGCCTGGTCTACAGAGCGAGGAGTTCCAGGACAGCCAGGGCTACACAGCAAATCTGGTCTCAGGGAAGAAAGAGAGGAAGAGAGAGGGAGGGGAGGGAGGGAGGAAGGGAGGGAGGGAGGGAGGGAGGGAGAGTGTTCAAGAAAGTGCAAGACACAACTACGCAGGGAAACAAGCCCTTGCTTTGCTTAAAAACACTGCTACTGAGCCATGCCCTCACCAGCAGCATGGCACAAGGAACAATGTCTGTGTCTTGGTTTCCCAGTCAATCACGGTATCAAGTTGTTGTGAAGACTAAATGAAATTGTGCTTCAACGACACTCACACCACTACATTTTGAATAAACATTCCCCTTCCTCCTTCCCAAGCCTTGGGCTTTCCACTGTAGTATGCTACCTTCTCAACTATTAACTAACACACAGGCAATTCTCTCTGTTCAGCCATAAAAGATTAATGAAGGGAAAGTTAATCCAGTGATGAATTACTAATATTAGGTAGAGTAGACAAACCTAATTAACCTGTCAATGAATTCAGTTTCCATCCCTGTAGGACAAGGTAAGAAAGACTTCCCATCCACAAATACTATACTGATTTTTTTTTTTTTTTACTTACTTCTGGGCTGGCTAAAGTGCTTATGTGCCAGGCCACTCAATACTATAAAGTTATGAGGCACTTTTTCTTTAAACATCTCTTATAAATACTAAATATAATAGAGAAATCATGAGCTAGAAAGAGAGGAAAGAAACAAATACACAGAGAACATAACAATCAGAAATGATGACTGTGAAACTAACTGGACTGAGGAGGACAGGATAGGTCTGAGGGTATTTACAGAGCTAGTTAGGTCAATTCGACTCTGAGATAAGAATAGTTTAAATTACTGATGGATTCAAAATATGAACAGACTACTGGGAGATGATAGAACTTTTCAAGGGGGAAATAGTTGGAGAAATTACAACCCTGGGGGCATTTTCTTGGAGGATTCTCTACCTCATCTTCTTGTAGCCATATGGTATGTTCAAGCAAGCAAATATCAGCTGACCTTTCTTCTAAAACCACAACCAAAACAAATCTCTCTCCCCACTTATGTCTCAACCTCCCAGGAAATCTTCAGCGCATCTCCAACATAAAAAATAAGTAGCTGCCGGGTGTTGGCGGCGCACGCCTTTAGTCCCAGCACTCGGGAGGCAGAGGCAGAGGCAGAGACAGGCGGATCTCTGTGAGTTCGAGGCCAGCCTGGTCTACAGAGTGAGTTCCAGGACAGGCTCCAAAGCTACAGAGAAACCCTGTCTCGAAAAACTTAAAAAGTAGTAAATTATACCACTAGTTAACCAAAGGTTCTTTTCAAAGTTTTAGATTTCTTATATCTGCAATCAAGTCTTACAATAAGCTTTTCACATGTTCACTTACTTAAATACCTCTTAAAAGACTTCTATCAGACCAGTTAGAGTCAATCTCCTACAAAGGAATCACACTGCCCTCTGCCCTCACTGAAACCCCAAAGTCTTTCCATTTGCTTAACTATCTTAAATCCTTTATTACACATTCCGTCAGTTTGCCTGTTATCACAGTGACTCACCCATCTGCAGATACTGGAGTCCCCTCTGGTTTGGAATATTCTTCCAAATCTGATATGTTCACTTGTGTTTGCCTTGAGATTACTATCTGGCTATTCTGAGGAGGTTTGGTTTCCAAGTCCTCAGAAATAGTCTTACTATCTGGAAGAGAAGACTGTGCAACTTGCAAGTCCAGTGGAGATCCAGGTCCTAGAAAACCTAAACATTCTTGATCCTTTGCTACAGGTTTACAGGTCAGTAATTTGGAGGTTGGTTCCAATGACCTTGAAGGTATAGTTCGAAGATCAAAGTTACACTCACTATTAATCCTTGTTTTAGAAGCAGGGTCCAATGAATGAAACCTTTCATCTAAGGTTCCACTATCCACCTTGGAAGAAGTCTTGGGACACAGAGTTATACGAACACATGAAAGAGCTTTCCTACTTGAAGGTGGAGTAGATGCAGCGGTACAGTAGTCAGGGGGTGACTGGGAGACCAAATTACTGACCTTGGCTTCAACACGTATCGTATTAGAGAACTGCGATTGAGGTATATGCTGAATCTTTCCCACTACCCAATCCTGACCGTGAGAAGGAGGGAACTGCTGTTGCCCCATATGGTCATCTACATTTGGGGGTTCGCATTGCTGCGGATCAAGAAAATCTCGAGAAGGAAGATCTGCAGCTATATAATCCTGGCACTTAGGAAAGAAAGAAAGGTCTCCTCTGGCTTCATGATCTACCTGTGGGGCTTTGCTCTGCTCAAAGAGCTCTCGCTGTTCAAGAAAAATGCAAGAAGCAATGTCTGGGCAAGAGGAAGAAGAGTATTCTCTCATCTGGTAACCTGTGTGTGGGCTGTGGCTTTGCTCAAAGAGCTCTCGCTGTTCAAGAAAAATGCAAGAAGGGAGACCAGGAGTTATAGCTACACTCTTCTCCTTTACTTCTAGTGTAGAACTTTTGTCTGGTCTAATAATGGTATCCTTGCCAGAAAACTGAACTCCCTTGACCCCGCTATAGTTCAGACTGACACTGGGTTCAGAATGACTGGCTTTAAAATCAGATCTTTCTAAGGGTTTTTGTTTTTGATGAAAATGCTCAAAATCATCAGGTAATTTTTGCCTTTGCCTACTACCTTCAGCTAAAATAGTCACCGGGGAATGACTGTGCCTTTTAAGTGATGAAGGGGGAGAGGTTTTCTGTTTAACATCTCTAGGAGAAATCTGCTCTTGGGGGATACGAGGCTTAAATACTCCTAAAGATGGTCCAGTACCCTGGCTACCTTCAGTAACACCAACCTTAAAAACAGAGCTATCAGAAATGCACTTAGAGTGTCCATGAGAAAAAGAAATGGAGGTAGTGAACTCCTTCATGGACTCAGGGGGCAGTGTTGGTGATGAGGAAGGACAATCCATTTCTTTAGCAGGCACACAAGTAGGTTCTGCTAATCCCAATGGCCGGGGGTCCACGTTTGTGTGGAAGGGCATTCCAACACCCTGGCTAATTCTGATGTCTTCGGGTGCAAGTTTTTGAAATGGGGGATGACTCTGTAACTGAAAGGAATTCCACACTTTAAAACGGGTATTGCTCTGATCTATCGATCTGGAAAGGTTGATGTGCCTGCCTCTCCATGATGATGGGCTCCAGCGTCCTCTAGTCAAGTCTGAAGGTTCAAAAGATCGGAAAACACAACGGCGGCTGTCTGGTCGTGGTTGTTCAGCAGTAACAGTCCTGAAACATCCTTTCTCATGGCTCTCAATAACAATGTGACTGCATACAGCTTCGGGCACACGTCCTATTCCCCGTGGACTACGTAAGCCCTAGAAGATAAAAACAGGTTCCTGCTTAAAATAATCCAGTCATATGGTCATCAGTTTCATATCCAAGCTAAAAATGACCATGAAGGTCATTTTACTTGTCTAGATAGGTCAAAGAAACAGCAGAAAAACGAAACTTTACAGAATAAAATGGCTCATGATAATAAAGAGTGTTTAAGAAACTCTTTTAAAATTGTTCTGCTTGGGGCTGGAGAGATGAGTGGTTAAGAAGAACACTGGCAGCTCTTCCACGGGACCCCTGTTCAGTTCCCAACACCCACACCAGGCAGGTCTCAACCACCTGTAACTTCAGCTGCAGGGATTCAATGCCTCTGGCCTCCAAGGGCACCTGCATGCATGAGTACATGCTGACTTGCACGCATATTCATACACACACATACACTTACACATAGTTAAAAATACTACAAAAGTACTATAAAAGTATAAAAGGAGCAGAGGCAGGCAGACCTCTGAGTTCAAGGTCAGCCTACCTAGTCTACAGAGCAAGTTCCAGGACAGCTGGGGCTATCCAGAAAAACCATGTCTTGAAAAATCAGTAATAACTGTTGTAGTTGTATTAGGATAACAATAGTAAGTAAATAAATCCTAAACACACACACACACACACACACACACACACACACACACGCCCGCCCGCCCCAAAACAAAGCTCAAAGCTTAGCAGGAGGACTGTGAGGGTCAGAGGTAAAGTGCTTCCCTACCGTGTGTGATGGTGTAAGTTTGACCCCCAGCATAACACACGCACACACATACAACAGCAACAAAAACAAAGAGGAACACATGAACATGTCAATAAACCGGACATAAAGATGAGAAATGGGGAAATGAAAAGAATAGTCAACATTTAAAAAAAAAAACAAAAAAAAAACAGGAAAACGTAAATGGCAATACTTGGGAGGTAAAGGTAGGCAGGTCTTTATTAAGTTCCAGGCTCACCTGGCCTAGACTGTCAGAGCTACTTCTTAGTGAAACCCTGTCTCAAAAGAAAAAAAAAAAATAAAGCAAGCAAACAAAAAACCCACAGTAAAATGTCGCTGTAAGGGCTGGAAAGACGGCTCAGTGGTTAGAGCTCTCACTGCTCTAGCAGAGGACTCACGCTCAGTTCCCAGCACCGGTATCAGTGCAGCCAGGGGGTACACCCGCCTCTAACCTCCACGGGCTCCTGCACGTACACGTAACATGCAGACACACTCGCATGCACATAAACAAAAACTGTGTGTAAAGTTTCAGTACGAGCCTGTCACAACGGCTGCTGAGGACGTGGGGTGAGTGGGTGCCCCTCAAGCAATATAGCCACCACACAACCCAAAACGAGCTCTCAGACACTGACGCCACAGAAACAAATGCACATCTTCCTCACACAAAGCAACATGACTGTTTGTAAAGCCCAAGATCGAGAAGCCACTCAATTGCTCTTCAAGGGTGAATGTTTAAACATACTGTTGGGCATCCACAGCCACACAGAGGGAAGACTGTCGTCATAACCCCATGAGTTTCCAAAGAATTATTCTTAATTCAAGTATCTCAGTTATTCTGAATGAAAGAGGCCAACACAAAAATGACTTCACTTTAGTGACACTCTTGATATTACGAAACCCAGGAATGGGGCCTAGACTAGTGCTTGACAAGTGTTACAGAAGGGGTGGAGTGGAGGAAAGGCATGGACAGACGAAGCTATGACAGGCCGTAGCCTTAGATCAGTTTGTAAAGGTCCATATCCTGACTGTACTAAGCCAATGTCATGACTGGGACTGATCATTAAAACATTACAAGACAATGGCTGCAAACAATGGAGCATGTCTTTAATCCCAGCACTTGAGAGGCAGGCAGGCACGCAGGCAGGCACGCAGGCAGGCAGGCAGATCTCAGCGAGTTTGAGGCCAGTCTGAATATATTGTAAGTTCAAGGACAACTAGATACTGTCTCAAACCAAAAAAAGTTTAAAAAGCTTTGCAAGTCATGCTCACTGAAGGACTGGAAGCAGACCGTTTCTTACAGCCGCACGTTTAAAACAATGTTTGGCTTTAAAAATCACCCAAGTATGCCAACTTGCTGTTTTTTAATCTGGTACATCACTGGGAAACAAACACCCTAACTTGAGAAATACGAGTTTCCTCCAGTTTCAAAACTGGGGATGATTACAGATTGATATTTATCTAAAATGTGTTTGTTTCTCTGTGGCTTTCATCTTCCCACTTTTAAAACTCTTTAGATTTGGGGATGGTGAGATGAACCAGGAGGTAAAGACATTTGTAGTCAAGGCTAACTCAGTTCAATCCTCAGAACCCACATGGTAGGAGACTCTTGCAAGTTGTCCCCTGACCTTACATGCCATGGTACCCTCCCCGCAAAATGACCTTATGTAATTCTTTTTTCCTAATTCCTAAGTTCTTATTTAGTACCTGTCAAACATTATTTTTAAACTACTCTCCCTAAAAATCTTACAATAAGCTAACATATTGATAGGTATGTAAGAGGGTCTCTTTTTAAAAAAAGCTACTGTTAATAGCCAAGACATGGTATCAAACTAAATGTCCAATAGGGATGTTGGAGAAAAAAAGCGTAGTATATGTACAAAATGGAACATTAGCACTCAAAGAATAAATAGGTCTGCTGACTCTTTTCTTTTTTTATGTATGAGTATTTTGCCTGTATGTATGTGCCATGTGTACCTAGTGACTTGAGGCCAGACCCCCGGAAACTGGACTTATGGCCAGTTGTGAACTAGTGTGGGTGCTGAGAACTGAGCCCTGATCCTCTTCAGGGCAACAGATGCTCTTAACCACCAGGCATCTCTCCAGTCCCGTACCATGCTTGTTCTATGTGAAACTCAAAAGCACACTGGAAAGCAGTCAATACACGTCAGGATAAGAAATAGGGACAAAACTAGGGAAAGATAATCAAAACATTGCAAAGGCCTTTGCCTGCCGGGGGAGGGGTGTTGGTTTGGTTTGGGTTTTGAGACACAATCTTCCTAAGTAACTTTGAACTTGCTCTATCTGGCCTAAGCCTCCCTAATGAACACTGGGCTTAGAATGCACACGCCCAGCTCAACGGCATTTACTAACGTTCTGTTCAATAGCATCTATTAATGGACCACAAACACAGGAATCAACTTCTCTTTAGATAAGTGTTTCTAGTCACTGAAGAAAGAAAATAAACTTAAAAAGAAAGCTGTTTTTGAATAAAACTACTTTAACTCTATATTCTTAAAATATCTATTTCTGAAACTGAGTTTTTATCTGAATTGCAAGATGAAAGGGAGCCATTTAACCTCCCAATCGTAAAAACACATTGGCAAGCCGGGCAGTGGTGGCACACTCCTTTAATCCCAGCACTTCAGAGACTGAGGCAGTCGGAGCTCTGTGTTCGAAGCCAGCCTGGTCTAAAGAGTGAATGCCAGCATACCTGGGACTATAGAGAGAAACCCTGTCTTGAATAATCAAAACAAACAAAAAAATAAACCAGCAAAACAACTCAATTCATCAAAACTTAAAGAATTTAGTCCTTGAATCCTAACTTTTAGGGAATTAAGACTCTAATAATCAGCAACTGCTCTGGAGTCATCAATGTCAAGTAGAAACCCTAACTCCTACTGCCCGCTCTTCACAGTTGGTTTTCATTTCTAGGTTTCTTTTATACCTCAGACACATGAGCTGTTCTTCCGTGACCAAACAACTTTGCCTTTATCTCTTCTACTTTCCTCCTGTCGTCTTCATTTAATTGTGAAATGGAGTATCCATAGTCATGTCCTAAATTAAACTTTAGATTCCAGGCTGGAGAAAAATCACAAATAGTTGATATTTAAAACGTGTGAAACTGGTAATTTTTCAATGATTACATAACGACATCTGCCCCTTACTGCTCAACAAAAAGCTGAGCATGTGGTTGGTCTCCAGAACGAGACCTAGCAGGAGTTCTTAAGAGGCCGTTTCACTGAAAAGTCTACCCACCCTCCAAAGCAGGGTATGTTTCTATGTAATTCAGGGTGGCCCTGAACTCAAGATCCCTGTACCTTAGCCTCCTAGTACAGGAATTACAGATGTGTGCCACTATATGTGAACTAAAGTCTGAGTTTTTAGACCATCCTCCACAGATGTACCTCCAAAGAAGCCACTCTAAATATGGAATTTAAATCATTAATATTAATTTTTCTTGTAACCAGAGTCGCTACCTCCCCTCTTAGTACCTGCTATACTTACTAATGCTTCTATGACACCTAATACCTTAAATTAATAAAACTGGAGAGATTATGACAGAATCAAAATATACAAGGAACAGTACAGTCAGTTAACGTCAAGATTCCGAGTCAGCCCTGAACCACTTACAGACTGCTACCCAAAGCATTGCCTCATGTCTTAAAGATTGCTACATTTCCTTTACAAAGATTCTATTAGGGATTAATGGGATTAATAAATACCCTCTTTTACACTTCTAACCGAAGTTTTAGTACTAAAGACCTTGACAAGTGTTTTTCCCTTATATGCCAGGTCCAAAAATTTCATTAGAAAACAAAGAGAACACAAAATAATTTACAGAAGAGCAAATTGGAGGCAACTGTACCCCCAAAACAAGGATATTACAAAATATGAGAATTAAGGAAGCCCAAGCTACTTTCTTACTATCCTTCTGACACAAGAATCTCCTTCTCCTAAAACCATAAGCTCAGACTAGCACTACTGATCATATAATTTATTTGTATCATTGCTTCCCCGCCCCCCTAGATTTTGGATAGAAAGTATAATCATTGTACAGATCTACACGAAATTTAGAACTTCAAGCGTCTCATTTTAAACTGCTACGCTGTAATGTTCACAAGCCTGAGTGAACGGGCCTGTATGAGTCAGTCCTCACCTTGGGCTCGAACCCGACACTCCTCTTCCTCTGCATTTTTAAGTATCTGTTTGGCATGATTCAGTGAGGATTCGCACTGCAGAAGGTACTTGACGTGTGCAGCCAGTGAATCCACACTACCACGGCCGTCTTCACTCTCTGACAACCACTCTTCCTCAGGGCTTTCTGTCATGCTTGTCTTGGGTGCAGTGTATGGGAAGAAGTTTAGAAAAACATCAGAAACAGACTCCAAAGACTCTGGCAAATTGCTGTCCCACGAGCAGCAACCGTCACTTACATCACTACTGGAGTCACTCTTTATGATTGTCATCATAGGGATAATAATCTTGCTCCCAATGCCTGTACCGCAACCTTCAGCTTCAGACCTCATTACGGACCTGGCAGCTTCGTACTGCCTGAAAGTTCCATCAAATGCCACTCTTGCTGTGCCTCGCGCATCCTGCAGAGGACTTCTGATCGTAGCTGAACTAACAAACTCCCAATTTTCAACCCCACTCTGGCACCTGAGGTTTGTCTGTGTACCCATGTCCTTCTGCGTGCACTCAATGTGAGGGAACTCCTCCGTGAAAGGCTCCCTCTGCGTACAGACATCAGTTACAGAGGGCTCTTTGAAGCAAACCACCTTCTTGGATTGTATAAATGAAACATCGCTAACATCTCTGAAAGGGACTAAAGGAGCAGGGAAATTACATCGTTTCAGTGCTATATTTTCTGCCTCCATTAAAAGAGTCCGAATTTCTTTAAGGGTTTTGGAACCATGATCTGTATCCCGGATTTCCTCATAACCAACATCACCAAAACCTGAAGATTCTGGCTTACATATGATAACTTCATCATCAATCTGCGAATTTAAAGGCATATCGTTTGCAATGAGAGAACAAGACTCAGGATAATTCAAGTTATCTATCAGCTTTTGGACATTTTCTGAGACGAGCTGGTGCTTTTCACTGTGTGAGTAAGAACTAGGAGTAACTGTAGGTAAACCAGAAGTCTGTTCAGCTTGACCAAGACAAATTGAAACCTTCAGAGCATCTTCAGTTAGCTGTCTGTCTGGCAGCTCCTGTGGGTATCCACAGGATGTATCTACTTTCTCTCTGTGTGACAGAGAGCCAGACAGAGGAACCGGTACACCTGTGTTTACAGCAGTTGGGTCACAGACAGTTGAAATCTTCGGAATATCTTCACTTTGATCTCTATCCAGTAACTGTTTTTGAACCAAACCAAGAGGTTTTACTTTTTGAGGACAGGAACCATGAAAGGCTGTTGGTAATGGAGTCTTCTGATCATCTGGTCCAATCACAGATGAAACTGCGGGCTTCTCCCTATGTAGGAAGGACCTATGAGTAACTGTTGACAACTCAGGCTTCTGGTCGCCCAGTAGATCTGAAGTGGAAATCTTGTGTTTCTCCTTGTGTGAGTGGGGACCGGATGAGACCGCAGGTCTATTCTGGTCAGGTAGTCCAGGAACAGTTGAAGCCTTCAGAGAATTTTCAGTTAGAACATGATCTGGTGGGGCCTTTGGGTAAACATCATTGAACTTTTCTCTATGGAAGTAGGAACTAGAAGGCCCTGTTGGAGTGCCAGGCAGCTGTGCTGCAGGAACAGAACCAGTGGACACTTTCAGAGACTCTTCTGTGAGATGGCTGGCTGGCAATTCCTGTGGAGAGGAAGCACTGGACTCTGCCTGAGGGTAGTAAGTGGAGGGCTCTGTACTTTTCTCAACCTTCTGAACAAACGGTCCAGGATCAGCAAAAGTGCCTACTGCGTCCTCGCCAGCGCTCAGCACTGTTTTATCCTCTTGATGAAAACCACCAGGCCGCTCTCTGCCTAAGTGGGAAACTATTTGTGCCTCAATCTTCTGATCAGTAGACCCAGATATTTCAGTAAGATCTGGCAACTCCTGCTGGTAAGAGACGAGGGGTGTCTCATCCTTTGAGTGAGGGATAGAAGGCCCTACTCCAGAAACACCTAGAACTAGCAAAGCTTCTTCAGTAAGATCTGGCAACTCCTGCTGGTAGGAACCACTAGCGGCCTCTCTGTGATAGGGAGCAGAGGGTACTACTGGTACTTCAGCACCCCTTAAAACTTCCAAACCTTTTTCGCTACGACCTGGGAAATCTGGAAACTCTTGCTGGTAAGAAACAGTAGGCCTCTCTACATACGAGTGGGAAGTAGACGGCACTGTTGGCAGCGCAGACCTCTGGTCAGCTGGTCCAGGAACAACTGACACTTTCCCAGTGTCTTCAGTTAGAGGCCTACCTGGCAACTCTAGATTTGAGTATGAAGATGGGGTGACGAGGGGTAGCCCAGTCTTCTGGTCAGCTGGTACAGAAACATCTGAAACCTTCTGATCTTTTTTAGTTTGCTGATCATCTGACAGGACCTGCTGGTAGAAAACAATGGGCTTTTCTCCAAAAGAATAGGGAGTAGAATGTACCGGTGGCTCCCCAGTCCTCAAGGTGACTGGTCCAGGGGAAGTTAAAACATCCAAAGCATCTTTAGGAAGATGGTCATGTGGCAAGGCCTGCTGGTAGAAAATAATGGTCTTCTCTCCCATTGGATGGGAACCTGATGGTCCTGCTGGTGTACTAGTCTTCTGCTCAGTTAATCCAGAAACCCCTGGAGCTTTAAAAGACTCTGCAGATAGAGGGTTTCCTGGCAAGCCAGGCTGGTAAAAAATAATGGACTCTTCTCCAGGGAGGAAGGAACCAGGAGATACCGCTGGTGCCCCTGTGTTCTGCTCAGGTGGTCCAAGGACAGCTGAAACTTTCAGAGACTCTCCAGGCAAATGACCGCCTGGTAGGGCCTCATGGTACAAAATCCAAGGCTTCTCTCTCTGTAAGGAGGGAGTAGAGGTTGCAGCTGGCATAGTAATGTTTCGGTCAACTGGCCTAGTAGTAGCTGGGGCTTGCAGGGCCTCTTCAGACACAGGACCAGGCAGGCCCTGTTGGTAGAAAACACCAGGCCTCTCTTTTTGTGAATAGGAAGTAGAGGGCATGGACACTGCTGTACCTATCTTCTGGTCTACTGATCCAGTTGTGCCCGAGACTTGGGCCCCTTCAGTTAGGTGGCTGTCTGGAAATTTCTGCTGATAAGAAATATTGGGTCTGTCTTTATATAAATAGGAAGCAGAGGTGATAGCTGATATTCCAGATGGTTTAGAAACAGATGAAGCTTTGAAAGCATCTTCAGGCAGGTTCTTTGCTCTGAGAGAATAGGAAACAGGTAATTCCGATGGTACAGAAGTCTTCTGGTCACCTCGGCCTGGAATAACAGAAACAGGCACTGCTTCTTCAGTCAGATGAGTGTCTGATAGTGTCTGCTGGAAGAAAGCTTTAGCTGTCTCTTTATGTGGCTGGGAAGCAGAGGTGACTGTTGGGGACCGGGTCTTCTCGGCTGGTCCACTAACAGCTGAAACACTCAGAGGCTCTGACAGAGGATGTGGATAGAAAACAGCAGGTCTCACTCCCTTTGAATGAGAGCTAGAGTGTGCTGTTGACATCTCTGGCTTCTGGCCAGCTGGCCTAGGAGCAGATAACACTTTCCGAGTCTCGTCAGTAAAATGCTTATCTGGCAACTCCTGGAGAAAACCGCCAGGCTTTACATTGTGTGAGTAGGTGGGAGAGACTAGTGATGCTCCAGTCTTCTGGTCAACAGAGGCAGGATCGTTCCAAGCCTGATGACTCAAATAGCTTTCTGGGAAAGCCTGGTGATACAAAATATGAGACTTCTCTCCATGTGAAGGAGGAGAGGGCAGGGCAGTTATCCCAATGTTCTGGGCAGCAGGCCCAGGGAGAGCTGAACCCCGCATGCTCTCTTCACTTAAGTGACTCTTGGGCAACTCCTGTTGGTAGAAAACAGTAGGTCCTTCAAACTTCTGGCCGGCAGCCCTCACAGCAGCTGAAGTTTTCATAAAGTCTTCAGGCAGATGACTACCTGTTAGGACTTGTTGGTAGAAACCACCAGCCTTCTCTCTTTGTGAATACGAAGTAGAGGTCATTGTTGATAAACCATTCTTCTGGTCAGCTTGTCCAGGAAATGCTAAATCTGTCAGTTTCTGGCCAATCTGGTAACCATCTTGATGTAAAATATTGGGCTTTTCTCTTTGTGAGTAAGAAGTAGGGACGACAGGTGATGCTCCAGGATTTTGGGTAGCTAACCGAAGACGAGAGGAAGCTTTGGAAGCCTCTTCAGACAGACGGCCTTCAGGTACAACCTGTTGACCGAAAATACCAGATTTTTGTGCGTTTTTTTTCTATGTGAGAGAGAAACAGAGGGTACTATTGGTATTCCAGTCTTGTGGCCAAACAGTTCAGAAAACACTGAACCTTTCAGAACCTCCTCAGTTGGATAGCTATCTGGAAAGCCCTGCTTGTACAAAATACTGGGCTTCTCTCTATGTGAGTATATGCAAGAAGCGGACACAGCTGCTGCCCTCATCTTCAGGTTGGTGGGTAAAGTAACAGCAGAAGCTGTTAGACAATCACCCTGGGAAAAATACTGGGCTCCCCCTGTGTGGGCAGGAAGCAGAAGGTGCTGATAAACTTTCTGGTCAGCTACTTTGGGAATATTTGAAGCTGTCAGGCTCCCTTCAGTGGGATGACTACCTGCCAGTACCTTCTGGTCTACCCTGAGTGGTGGTGAGTGTGGTGACCAACAGTGTTCTGACAACTTACAGCAACATGACTTAAATCTTCAAAGGACGACGAGTGTGCCGTAATGTGCGGATCTCCAAGAGCGCCAGTGACATCTGGTTTCAGCTTGGACTGAGAAACTGCAACTTTGCCTCCTTTAAAAAGAAACAAAAACAAAAATGAAAAAAATACAATGATTTGTTAATGTCATATAAATACATTTATTTCAATTCTGAGATGATTCAGAAGATAAAGCAGTTGCTGAGCAAGCCTGACAACCTGGACTCAATCCCTGAAATTCGTGTAAAAATGGAAGGAGAGAACTAACTCACAAAATTTTCCTCTGAGCTCTACTCACATGCCAGAGCCCACCTTCACCTACACCTACACCCACACAACCTACACACACACACACACATTTTGAAACATTAAAAATTCCTTTCTTTGTGCACAAATATAAATATGGGAAGGAAGCTTTAATACCTCCAGTCCTTATATTTAGAAATTAATTCTACAGAGATAAGCAACAAATGAGAGTTATACAAGAAGATATTAAGTATAAGGCAAACTAAAGTAAAAATCATTAACAACAAACTAATAGCTTAAAAAAATAATAGGATATGCACTTACAAAGTATTATACAGTTCTTAAAATTGGGAGTTTTTAAAAATCTTCAATTGGATGTAGTAAAAGCGTAAGGTCTAGGATTTGATTTCTTCCTATTTTCAATCTAAGAGCCTGCTATTATATACCCCGAGTGGTGGCAGGAGAAATAAGACCCTCAGTTACAGAATAAGGAAAAAAAATTGTCCTTGGTCCAACAGACCACCAGCTGGTGGTTTCTACGTTTCTGTATCTGACATGGGTTCTATTCCCAGGATCCACACAGCCGCACACCACCATCTGTAACTACAGTACCAAAGGGTCTCATGCCCCCTTCTGGCCTCTGAGGGCACCAGGCATGCACAATGTACAGACACACGTGCAATCAAAACAGCCACTGAGACAGACCGCACCTCTACCCAGACAAGCGGCATTGCCGGGAGATGATGGGAAAATCCGTCCTCTTCACTTTTTGTTCTTGTTTTGTTTTTTTTTTTGAGACAGAGTTTCTCTCTGTGGCTTTGGAGTCTGTCCTGGAACTCAATCTGTAGACCAGGCTGGACAGAGATCCATCTGCCTCTCCCCACTAAGTGCTGAGATTAAAGGTGTGCGCCGCCACCGCTGGCTCCCGCCATTTTGAAACTATAGTATAATGCATGGCCCTTCTCATTCTTCCCATGTGTCCCTCCCCACGCTCCCTCAAACTCACGGCCTCCTTTTTCACTAGTTGTTACTAAACGCACGCGTGCGTGCATGTGTGGGGTCCTAAATACAACCTGCTCAGCGCATGCAATGTTACTTGCGTGCATGTTTTCAGAGCTGACTGTTTTGGTACTGGACACCCAATTGGTGGGCCCTTGGCCACACTACTGCCCCCAGCTGTCGCCAGGCGCCTGTAGTTCCTGAGGGCTGAGGCCTCATGGACCTCACCCCATCCGGGTTAGTACGTCCATTGGTGACATGTCTGATCAGCTCGAGTTTGGATTGTCAGGTTGGTGAGACCCCCCTTTTTTTTCTCCTCTCCCTCTTCCCCGTCATAGGCCTCTTACGGAGACTGATGCGAGTCCTGCTGACTAAATCAGACAAAGCAGCTCAGTTCCTTTCTAATTGCTACCCTTCTCTTCCTCTTCCCACCCTAACTTCCGCTGGAGCCGCGTATTCGTCTCCTTTGCTGCGTATTGTTCTACCTTCCTACTTGGCCGTTGTTTTTTACTCTTTTGGATTTTCTCCTTTGGGAGCCCTCCACCCAGTTCTCAAATAAACACACAGAGGCTTATTATTACTAATAAATGCTGGGCCTTAGCCTAGCTTGTGTCTAGCCAGCTTTTCTTAAATTATCCCATCTTACCTTCTCTGCTTCTGGGCTTTTTCCTTTCACTCTTACTCCTCGGCTGCTTGTGTGGCTGGGTGGCTGGCCCCTTGCATCTTCCTCTCCCTGTTCTTGCTCCCTGATCTCTCCTCTTCCCCAGATTTCTCCTCCTCTTTTATTCTCTCTCCCTGCCAGCCCCACCTGTCCTTCCTCCTGCCTTGCTATTGGCTGTTCAGCTCTTTACTAGATCCATCAGGGATTTTACATAGGCAAAGTAACAGAGCTTCAGTTAAACAAACGTAACATAAAGGAATGCAACACATCTCTGCGTCATTAAGCAAACAGTCCACAGCATAAACAAATGTAGCTCATCTTATAATGATATCCTACAACACTACTTACTTTTCTACTTGTCTTTATTCTAATTGTGATCTTACAGCTTATTTTCTTTCTATTCCTAATATTAGTAACTAATATCGTAAGTGTGCGATGTACCCTCCTTGCTCTTTGGCTATTCCGATGTCTTTGTAACAGTGTTACCCATCAGTTGTGGGTACTTGTGCAGTTAGTAGTCTACACTTGTAGGTGCTACAGATTGTGGCCAGTATCCAGAGCATGTGTGCTAAAGGTTAAGCTATGAAGAGTAATGGATACTGAGTCCTATGGAGAGAAACCACACTTCATCCTTAGTACAGTAACTTAGCCCCAGATAAACATTGAAAGAAAGTACCTGAACTGAAAGAATATAAGTGATTAAAGAAACCCATCTAGGGCTGGAGAGATGGCCTGGAGGTTAAGAGTACTTGGCTACTCTTACAGAGGTCCTGAGTTCAATTCCCAGCCACCACATGGTGGCTCTCACAACCATCTATAATTGGATCTGGTGCCCTCTTCTGGCCTGCAGGCAGACATGAAGACAGCACTTATACATAATAAATAAATGTTAAAAAAAAAAAAAAAAGAAAGAAACCCATCTAATTCCGTATATGCCAAGTTCCAATACAGAACTATAAGAAACAGAAACAGAAATCAAGGAACAGTGAGTGATTCCTTTAAAAATTCCCATTTCTACAGTAATAAAATCCAATGAAAATAAAGTGGATAATCTACAACAAAGAAACCCAAAAACAGATTTTAAGAATGTTCAACAAAATCAAAGAAAATATGAACAAAACCCTAGATGAATTCAAAGACAAAAGGCGATCAACCGACATAAGGAATCCAATACAAGACATAAAAGATGAACTCAAATCAAACTGAAAATTTAGAAATAAAAAGTCAGTAGTGGAAATTCACACCAAATGAACGGATCAGGGCTTGAAGACACGGTAAATTTGAAGGAGCACATTCAGACAACAATAAAAGGAAGAAGTATAAACCGTACATATGAGACTACTAAACAAATGACAAATCATGGGCACAGAAAATGTACAATCTAAAGGCAGAAAAAAGAAAAAAGGAGGTAGTCAACCAGACACAAGAGGTAAAATTACAACACCAAATAGACAAGACCAAAAAGGAATGTTGATGTGATATATTACAGTTAAACCATTAAGTATGTAGATCAAAGAAAGAATACTGAAAACTACATGAAAGAAATCCTCACTCACATAAAGGCAAAACTACCAAATTAATAGTAGATTTCTCACAAGAAATTTTAACAGCCTAAGTGAAGCTCTGAAAGACAGTGACTGCCAACTGACAGTCCTGCCCAGCAATGCCATCCTTCTCCATCTATGGTGATCAGAGTCCTAGCCAGCAATGCCGTCCTTCTCCGTCTATGGTGAACAGGGAGAATCCTGCCCAGCAAGGGCCTCTTACAAATAGAGAATGCCATTGTCACATTTGCTCATATTCAGGGAGGGTGACAGGGAACCACTCCAAGGTCCTTATTTCAACTGGCACTAAGAGTCTTTGTAATCTAATTACCTTCCACAGGCTCCACTTCCTAACGCCATCACTGAGACTAAGAATTTCACTGTGAACATTTGAGGGGACACAATCATAGAATCATATCTCCAAACACCAATTTCTTCTGAGAATTATCTGCCAATCTTTTTATTTAGTCATATCCACCTCGTTTTCCCTTCAACATAAATCTTTTTTTATTTCTTTTTTGATACATGGTATGGCTTACTTACCCCATTCCCAAAAACCTGTACATCAGTGATGCCAATAGTGTAACTCTGCCCAGGAGCAAGGGCTGAGAAATTGCCTTAAGGTCAATAACCTGGTTTTCTGACGTTCAAAGGCAGGGGAATGACGTCCCAGTGTGCCTTTCTGTTCAGTCCAAGTCTCCATCAACTAGACAAACTCACATCGGTGAGGCAGACCCTCCGTATTCAGTGTACTTATTTACATCTCTCCCTCAAATACCCTTACAGGTATACAAACAAATTCTGTTTTACCAACTATCTGACATGCTGGTTAATTTTTTTGCCAACTTGTCACAAGTTACAGTGATCCAACAGGAGGGAACCTCAACTGAGAAAATTCCCCCACAAGGCCCGCTTGTAGGCAAGCTGTGAGACGTTTCCTTTATTAACGATTGGTGTGGGGCGGGGACACCCAGCCCGTTGTGGTGGTGTACACACAGTCCTGGGATGTGTGCCAGCCAGGAGGAACAAGCCAGTAAGCAGCATTTTCTCTGGCCCCTGCCTCTGTTCCTGCCTTGAGTTTCTGCACTGCACCCTTAGTTGTGGAGTGTGGCCTGAGAGTTGTAAGATGGCTATGGTGTTATAGTAACACTGGGCACCCCTCGATCCACCTGAGCTGCTGGAAAGGCGCGGTAAGACAATACTCATGAGCTGGATATAAGGAAGTCATGTAACAACTCCATCTTCTACATACACACCTGCGGTAAGAGCTGCTGGCAGACTGTCAGGAGAAACCCTCAACATTCGGAGACTGGGGGAAGGATACTTTGGCTCGCTGGTTGGTTCTTGAGGAACAAACGAAGGCAATGGAGATGGAAAAGTCTGGCTAACGCCCAGATCAGAATGGTCTACCTATGAAATTAGAAAAGAAAGAAAAGAAAAAAAAAGTTTATTAATTTGATACTTCACTTGGTTAACAAGCCTCGTTATTATAAAAATGAACACTTAAGGGGTTTAATAATTTTTATTTTAAGATTTTTAACTCAATTTCATTTGTCTGCATGTATGTATGTACATCTGGGACCCCCTGGAACCAGTTGCAGATGGTTATGAGTCAACGCGTGGGTACTGGGAATAGAGCCCAGGTCCTCCTCAAAAACAAGTAGGGGCTGTAGATATGTTGCAGCAGGTAAGGGTACTGGCTGCTCTTCCACAGGATCTGAGTTTAATTCCCAGCACCCACGCCTGTCTGACTCCAGTCTTTGGGGATGTGGCGCCCTCTTCTGGTTTCCAAGGTCACTGCATAAATGTGGTACACAGATACACACGCAGGCAAAACATCCATACACAAAATAACGTACATCTTTAAAAGAATAACAAGTACTCTTCACCAATGACCTATTTCCCAGTTACCAGTTACTTATGAT